GTAGAAGAGAGCACTCCGCTTTGTGTTTACACTGAGCCTGAACCTTTTGAGAGCCAAGAAATCCTTCTGGGTTTTTTTTTTTTTTTGTTTTTTTTTTTTTTTGTTTTTTTTTTTGAGGGGCAGACTCCAGAAGAGCAAGTGATTCATGCATCACAGGCCACTTCATTCCAGGGACCAGTGCTTTTGGCAAGCAGTTTGAGTAGCGCTCATCCCCAACCCTCGGTTCGACAGCCTCTTTCATCCAGGCCTCCCTCAGATACAGAAGCAGTGTGACAAGGGTTAGTGCAAGGGATTGGAAATCAGGGTTCCCAGGTTCTGGTACCAGTTGGCATGACCTTGTTCAAGGTCACACCAGGTCTGTGCCTCAGTTTCCCTATCTGTACAAGAGTGGGTGAATTCCCCATTTTAACTGGACTCCAGGTTTTAACAGAGCTAACAGCATATGACTGAGTCGTCCTGTCGCTTCAGGACTAGACAGTCTCAGACTCCCCCCAGGTATCAATTAAGTCACATACCAAGAAACTAAGGCAGAAATCACCAGCACTGACGGAATACAGTCCAGACGCCCTGACCCCCAGTGCCTACCCAAACCACTAACGGCACTGTCTAGGTCTTGCATGCTGCCAACCCCTCTGCCCCACAAAAATCGCAGTAGGGACTGGGGCCTGCAGAGCAAAGATAAGCACCCAGAAATATTCTAGGCAAGCCAGCTGATCGCCTGTTTGGTTTCAAAAACTAGTCCAACAGCCGATCACAGATGCAGCAGATCAATGCAGGTAGGCAGAGGGTTTGGCCTGAGCCCTGATGGGGCACGAATATCCAGCCACCACCAAAGAATTGAGCCAACCGTGGGAGGTCTGCAGTTCTGAGTGCACCGATTGCAAAGCTGGGGTGGGATTTATTGTAGAATTTGTCCCTCCCCTCCCCATCAGAATCCAGGAGGCTGTAAAATAAAATATCTAGGCAGCAGCTGCTAGAGGCAGCAGATGGCATTTGGCTTCAAGATGGCCAGCTCTGCAAGATGGACTCTGTGGCAGAGCATCACGTGAGGATCAGCTCCCAACACCCCACTTGCATTTTGGGGGAAGCATCACTTCCATTCCCAGCAGAGACCATGGCCAGCTCTTTCACTCCACAGCTACTCGTTCTGAAATCTAAGACCATGTCTACACGATCACTTGTTTGGCAAAACGTGTGTCGCTCAGGGGTGTGAAAAAACCACCCCCCTGAGCAACACGAGCGCTCATGCCAGTGAAACTTGGGTGCACAGTACTAGGTCGGTGGGAGAGCTTCTCGTTTAAGTGGTTTTATTATGTCAACAGGAAAGCTCTCTCCTGTCAGCATAAAGCAGCTACACAAGCAATCTTACAGGGGCGCAGCGACATCAGTACAGTTGTGCCGCTGTAAGTTCGCTAGTGTAGACATGGGTTAAGTGCGGCAGGAAGGGCCACCTAAGATGGCTGCAGCTTTGAACCCAATGGCTGTGCTGCCCAAGGAAGAGAAGGTGCAGAGGATGTGCTGTTCTAGACACAAGAGGACTGGATCGCTCATTTCTGCAGCATCATTGCAAAGCTACGCTTGCCACACACTAGGAGGGTCTGCATTTTGGCATGACTCATGAGAACCCCTTCTGTATCCTTGCACGCTCTGATCAGACATTTGTATTACCATAGCAACTAAGACTCCTCCTCATGGAGTAGGACCCCCTTGTGCTAGGTGTCCATCACCATGGCCCCTTTCACAGTTGCCCCAGCTGAATGGGGGAAATACGTAGCAATGCGTTAGGGCCTACGCACAGAGGAATACAAGGGATCTTAAAGGCATACATCTGCACCAGCCCAGCTAAGGTTTTAACAGAACTAATGGCATACGACTGAGTCATCCTGTTGCTTCAGCACTCCAGTCTCCGACTCCTCTGGATATCGATTCAGCTTGATTCAAGATAAGCTGGCCGGTCTGTACTGGCCACGGGGGGCTGGGGGGGGGAGGAAGATGTGGCTACTTCCACCCCACTGCAGGCATTCTACCGCAGTGACATTGAAAGGTCAGGACGCGGAACACCAAAACCAGACGAGAGCACATTAGGCACACGCCACAGACACTGCCGTCTTCGCTCAGGCACGGATACCCAGCGTCAAACCTCAGGGACTTTACAAGCATCATTTTATGAATGTGGAGAGCTGGCGAGATTAAATGACCTTGGAAGAGTCAGTAGCAGAACAGAACACAAGCCACCCGACTCCCTCTGCTTCCACTGCTAGACTGCGTTGCCTCTGTAAGACAAGTGGCACTTGCCTTGGTACTTGTTCTGATCTCTAGGTTTCCTCAAGCACAAGAGCTGGTGTCTGCTTTCCCACGCCAGAGGACGCATCCAGTTTCACCTCTGGCAGACTTCCAGCAATCAAAGACAGGAAGTCTGCTCAGTTTAGATACTCACTCAGCACCACGGCCGAGGGTCACAAACATGCTCTATATGCACACCCCCTTTTTCTTCTGAGAGGAGGAGGCAGGAGAGAGAACAGCTTGCTGGCTGCAGATGCTGATAGAGGCAAGAGTGCCTCCCTGGAGAGGAGCTATAAATGTACTTGGGTCTCGGGGGCCTGATGTATTACCTAGCACTTATCTGTACAAGTGTAGATCTCAAAGTGCTTTATATAAATTGCCTCAGTTTCCCCATCTGTGAAATGGGGGGGTAAAGAGGGGAAGTGACTTGCCCAAAGTAGCAGGACCTAGTGGATAGAGCACACAACTCTCTCCCTACTGTCTACACTAGGTCGCAACAGATCAGCATTGTAACCGTCAGTCTTGGGCAGGATTACAGAGCTGCTTCTCACCCTCCCACCAGTGGCTGATTTTAAGCTAGATGCCATACATGAATTAATAGGGAGAGCCCGCCTCTTCTGCAGAGGGGAGGGGCATGTGACATCGGTAGTGGTGCAATACAGCAGAGGCTGGGCAATAATATTGCAGTCTGTTCTCCGATGCAGGTGCAATTTTGCTGTGGGGAGCATGCCATCTCCTGCCTGTGCAACTGTTACCCCCACCTAGATCACCTGGAGGGAGGGGAACAATATACTCTCACTGGAAGTACTACAGTTCGGAAGGAAGCAGTTTAAATCTCTCCATGGTCAGGGGATTTTCAGCACCCGCTGTCTAAGGCGTGCAACTGGAAGGACAAGCATGCTAGCAATAAAACGCTTCCCATATCAGAGGGGGCAGGGCACAGGAAGGAGAGCAGAGGGCCACTAGCCATGGAACAAGCAGCAAAGCAAATTCCCTGGAGGTGCTCTGGGCTGGGTTGGGGGGAGGGTGGGGGGTCCAGCCAGCTCCAATCAGGCATATAAGAGAGGCTTGGAGGGATGAGGCCTCAAACAGGAGATGCAGCTGTGGCCCCAGGGTTTAGTCTATTTTGAATGGATTCTATTTTAATTACGCAGCACAGAACCCACTTGATCTGATCAGCAGGGAGCCTCTGCCCATAGAAGATCTCCCACATGGGGAGGCGATGGGTGGGCCAAAAGAAGAGCAATGCATCTGCCCATCCCCCACAGAAGGACGGACTCATTTCTTGCATGACTGCAGG